ATCTCCTCACATGAGCGACTTAGTAAGTGTGCCCACAAACATGCAATTAAAAAGTTTTAAGGTCAAAAAATAAAGAATTTAGGTAAGGGCAGAGGCATAAAAATGAGAAGTTTGAAAATTAGTGGAAAGATTGGGTGAACAAGGAAGTTGGAGCAAAAGGAAAACAGGTTGAAAATAAAAATGGCTCTGGTCAACTATGTCAAGCAGACATGGCTAGGGTAGTGAGAGGAAAAGCAAAGCAGCCTTGGCAGTTGTGTAGCAGCGGTCTCACAGCAGGAAGCATCTCACACTTACTTCTCAGCTGGTTTTGGCTCAAGTAAAAGTGGGAAGAGACCCCCGTCTCTAGATCTGAGGACTGCCTGCTTGTCGGGTCTCTACTTGTGGAAACAGCTGTTAGCCAGATCTTGAAGTATCTACAGGTGGGCTGGCCAAGATGGCTCTGTGGCTTACCCTTTTGCCAAGCCTTTCCATCCTGGAAACTACATGGCAGGAGGGAAGAACCGACTTCCAAAAGCTGTCCTCTAATCTCCACATGTGATATGTGTGCACATACAAAACTGTAATAAAATTTTAATAGAAATCTAAGACTGTGAAGATGGACATTACAGCACATGCCTACAGTCCTTTAGGAGGGGAAGGTGGGAGGATCCTGAGTTCCAGGCCGGCCTATACTACCTAACAAGACCCTATCTTAAGAAAGAAAGAAAAGGGAGGGCTAAAGAGATGGCTCAGAGGTTAAGAGCACTGACTGCTCTTCCAGAGATCCTTCCTGAGTTCAATTCCCAGCAACCACATGGTGGCTCACAACCATCTGTAATGAGATCTGGTGTCCTCTTCTGGTCAGCAAGCATACAGACAGACAGAACACTATATACATAATAAATAAATCTTAAGAAAAAAAAAAAGAAAGAAAATGAAACACTTTTCAGTGTTACTTCAGAAGTAGGAGGTATTAGCAAAACAGAAAAATGGGAGACCAGAACCGTCAGGAATATTTGCACAATGGAGGGAAGGGGAAAATGTCTGTGAGTGACCGAGTGGACTATGCCACATCCTGACAAACTCATCCTTGATGCCAAGATTTCTGGTCTTATCCTATTTCTGAAAATAGTTTTCTTCCTTCTCCTCTCTGTACTCTCTGTATAGCATGTGGCTTTAGCTTTGGCTGTTTCCATTTTTTTTTAAAAAAAAAAAAAAAAACCAAAAACTTGTCTTTGCAGCCGGGCAGTAATGGCACACGACTTTAATCCCAGCACTTGGGAGGCAAAGGCAGGCGAGTTCGAGGCCAGCCTGGTCTATAGAGAGAGTTCCAGGACAGGCTCCAAATTTACACAGAGAAATCTGTCTTAAAAAAACAAAACAAAAAACCAAAAACAAAACAAGCCAGAGAGGCAGCTTCCCCTAACTGGAGGCATGCATGGCGGAGGGCTGTCCTAGCAAAAGAATAGCTGATTAGCAAGCTCATTAGTCTGATATTTCAGACTCAATCAAATCTCTTCGCTAGCTGTTTCAGAAAATAAACTTGTATATGTTACTCAAAATCATACAGTCAGACCACAGCAGACAAAGGACGGCTCTGGGCCCTGTTCTAAATGTTGCTAGTTCCAAGAACAGATTAGGCGCATGAAGAATTGGAAGGAATGAGACACGATTAATTATCAAACTTTAATTGATAGACTAATCTTACAGGATAAACAATAAGACAGCTAGTCAAGATTACACATTAAAAAAAAAAAATCCAGCAGCGCAAATCTAATAGACTAAATACGTTCATCTCCTCCCAAACAGGCATTTTTGATTTAAAAACAAACAAGAACAGAATGTACACCACAAGGAAACATAGTACTTACATATTGTCAGATACCTCTGCAGAACTCTGTAGGAAAGGGAAAGAAGGTTCTCAGCCACCAAGAAAGCAGAACCACCCAGCCTGGCAGGTAAATCCACCAGCAAACCAGAGGGCTCCTGGCCACTGTGACTTCAAAGAGGCTTCTAGGCCTAAGAAGGAAATGGGCCTGATCTGAAGACAAAGGGGCTGTCCTTTTCCAAGAGAACAGGGTTGAACAGTAGCAAGGAGCAAGAGAAAGTTGTCTCCCTCAGTAGATGTGTAGAAAGCAAGCCTGACACTGGAATTTATTTCCATCCCTTCCCTTCTTGGCTCCTGGCGAAGAAAAGGGCTGGCCAACTGCAAGAGCTCAAAATGCCCCTCCAGGCACATTAAAGAGGAAGAATTCCCTTCTGGGTGAGGCATGGCAACTTTTCTGAGACATGGCAATGGAGCAAAGTTAATCTCTTTGGCCCTCAGAAGGGGAAGCAGCAATAAGGAGCTACTTAGGCCTTACCAGGCCCCTACTATATCCACAAGATGCTATGAAAGTGCATCCTTGCTCAGTCAAACCTAACTTAAGAGCCAAAGCTATCTGCAAGGCCCACCTCAGATTAAGTATCTCACAAATGTCCTGCAACTCTTGAGTCTGAGTGCTCTGAGCTGAGGGACCCAGGCTCAGCAGTGGTTATGTAGTCACATTTTTTTCTGCCCAGCAGCCTCAGGGAGGAAAAGAAAGGCATCATGTCTATGAGGGCAATCCTGCAGAAGGGCTACCAGTACCACCTATAGATGGGAGAGCAGCCCTTGGAGTGGCTACATGATGACAAGCCCGGGGATGCCTCGTTGTGAGTACAACTCCTCCAGCTAGCTTCATGTAGTGCCACCAGAAGCCTTCTCCTGAAGAGCCCCCTGCATGCCCTCTTATCTGACAGTGAAGGAATTGTACAGAAATAATCCTGAGGAAAAAACACTGTGATGCTACCTAGCGGGAAGAGAATTTCAATTTGCTCACACAGATTTCGTCAGTATACTCCACATGGTAGAAATATATAAAGACTGCTCAAGGGACTAAGTGACAAAATAGCAAATACTGCTGTGACCCAGACAGATCTGAACACTTATTCCCAGGGCTTCTGGCGCTGCCTGCCCCTGCCCTTCTGAGAGCTTCTGGCGCAGTCTTCTGTGTTGACAGGATCAGGAGCCACAGCTCAAGCAGATTCAGCAAGCTCTGGAAAGCAATACTCATAACAGCTCCATACGAAAAGGTGTCATTTACATTATTTATAGAGAATATCTCCAAGTAAGGAAAAAGCACCATTGTACTAAAAATAAAAAGGCTCACAGAGGCTTTGGTCCTCTTGAAATGACACCAGCCTGCGTGAGAAGCAGTTTGGCTCTTGGGCAGCAGGGGGACAACAGCAGGGCACGTGTACTAGGAGGAGAGAAGGCAGACAGCACTGGGACCCTCACAGAAAATGGGGGCTGGCAGAAGGGGCCTCAGAGCTAAGGTGGGGACACACAGGTCAGCTCAGAGAGACCAAAACTGGGTGTGGCATTGTCAGACAAGTCTCAAGGACAGGGACACTGGCATACAAATGACAGTATTCAAGCCAAGAAGATGTTCTACCTGCCACTTGGTCACTTCCTTGATAGACCTGCCAAGTGCAGGAGGAGGCTGGGACAAGGAGCAAAATGTACTTTCTCCAGGGACTGCAGGCCAACAAGAACAGAAAATCCACAATTACCACTGAGATGCTGAAACACAGGCAGTTTCTTGGACGCTGAATTTTGCATACGTTACTTACACGCCCAAAAAGCACAGTAGGTTTTCCTGTCCAGATGCATAACTTGGCACTGAATACACCACAAAAAGCAAGAGTCTGTCTATGTGGGCTGGATTCCCAAACTACAGCTTAGAAGGGAAGGGCATAAATATCGTCATTAACTGGCTCACAAGGAATAGTCATCTTAGGCGAATACATGCGAATACATTTCACAGGATGAAGGCGGGTAACAGCTTAGATTCCAAAGTGTGAAGCTGGAAAGGTTTCTCACCAAACCTTACTATGAGAGCCTGCAACCAGTGAGAGGAGAATTGCAAAGACGGCAGCAGAAAAACAGCAAACGGCACAAAGGGAATCATCCACCAAGAGACTGTCCCTCATTTCAGTCAGTCAAGGCTTACAGAGAAGACAGCAGTTCACATGTACAAAGAACATCAGGGCTAAAACCAGGAGAGCAAGCTGGTCCAAAAGCAATTTATCCCACCTCTGTTGTTGGAATACCACTGGCCGACCCACTGGGTCAGAGGTCTTCCGTGAGAAAGGCAGCATCTCTGAACCTGGGATAAAGGACACTTGAACTGAATGCATGAGCAGAAGGACCAAATGAGAAGCATAATTCAAACAACCACTGGACTGCTTAAGGAGTTCTAGGAAGCTTTCCAAGAAAGAAAGTGTGTGATCTGAGGCCATATGGCGAGCTGGCTCCTCAGAGCAGGGGGCCTTGGAGCAGCAAGTCCCAGGCCGTGGTGATAGGCAGAGTTTCAAAGCCAAGCTCAAGGAAGGCTGTCAACAACCAAACCAGCAGTGGAACTCCCCGGAACAGGGGTCCAGAGGGTAAGACGTGTACACAGGACTCAAGTGAGAGATACTCTGCTGCTCAACGAATACCCCAGGAAGGTGGGAGCCCCTCCACCGAGACCACCAGTTGTTATTCCCATGTGTATTCCCGAGCAGCAGCAGCAGCACATGGGAGAGAGCCTGGCAAGGAGGTGAGGATGAGGTACCAAAAGAGAAACTGGCATCTTTGGGTTTAAAACAAAATCATAGGAAGTGCGAAACATTAAAAAAGAAAATCTCTGAATCAATGAGCACATACACACAAAAAAAATATGGCTTACTAACCACCCCCATTTTGCATACAATTTTAATACTAAAGAAAAAAACCCAACTCATCCAATGCAGTCCAATCCAAATGTCTGCAAAGAAAGACATCTGAAGACTTCAGCTGAAATCACTTCTAAAAACAAAACAAAAACAAAAAAAAAAGAAAAGAGAGAAAGAACAAAGAAACAAACAACAACAAAAAAAAACCAACCAGAAAGCTTTTGATTATTCCCTCTCAGCATACTGGCAGATCTACTCTCAAACACACTTAAGAGTATTCCACACATGTTCGAAACTTGGATTTATTAATTTCCACCATACTGACTTTAAAAATGGTAAGCTGACTGCAAGAAAGGGAACCGGTGATTTTAAGTTCAAATTAAGCTAATGGTGAAAGTACATCACCTCTGGCTTCAGTCACCACATCACCTCAGATTGAATAGAGATTTTTTTGTGTGTGAACAAAGTCCCAGAACTCTGCAATCCAGGGATGCTGCAGACCTCTCCCGGCAATGTCCTTCACTTTGGGTCAGTCTCCTGGGCCAGAGGTGAAAGTGCTTTCAAAAATACTGCCACTTGCCCAGCACAGTGTCTTTGATTGCATCCACATATTGAGTTGGAACCCAGTACACCCAGTAGTAAGAGGCTTCCGTGGGGCCCAACTGAAACGCCTGCAAGGGAAAAGGAAAAACCAAGCGATGCTTCAGAGGAGGGTGACCAAGCAGGCAGAACAACAGACGCAGGAGGGAGGGGCGCAAACTGATTAAAAAGGGAAGAAAAACAAAAGCAAATTGTGTACATGTATCTCCTATACTTAAAAAAGGGGGTGAAAAGGCAAGTGGGGAGGAGAAAGTTCAGTTCAGCATAGCCAACTCTAAGGCAGTAGTTTGCAAACTTCAGCACACATCAGAACTATCTGAAAGACTTGCAAAAATAAATTGCAGGCTCCTGCCCCTGGGTTTTAGTTTGGGAGCCCTGAGGCAAAGCCCAAAAAACTTTTAGCAAGCTCCCAGGTAATTTCAACATTACTGGTCCAGAGGCCATAGCTTGAGGACTGCTGCCCTAGAAAACATGTCACTCATACACAGGAAGCAGGTATGAATGTCTAAAGCGCACTGTGTGAAATGTTAAAATCCTGACAGTAATGTACACACCCACCAGTATGGAAGGGTACCCATAATTCACAGTGGTGTGGCCTAGTCATACAAACACTGGAGTCTTTTATTAAGATATGAATAGATCCTTTCGATCTAGAGTTATGACAGATCACAATGCCAACATCAAGTTGCAGAAGGGTAGATACCATGATGCTATTTATGAAAACTGAAAAAACACAGCACAGTACACCATTTTGTTCATGGACATATGTATAAACAAAAGCAATTACAGATGAAGAACATACATGATAGCTTACAATAATGGGGAGGGGAGGGGAAGACAATGGGAACAACATCACTGTTGGTAAAAAATTTTTATTTAAAAAGATTTAAAACAAGTTACAAAATGTTTACAACTATCGTATTTTAGTGATGGATATACGGGTTATGGTATAAAATGTAAGATGTATCCTTTTCTATATCTTTGAAACATAACCCTAGAAATGAAAGAGCACTGTGAACTGTGACACACTACTCTAGTAGACAAATGGCATCTGGAAGGAGAGGAAAGTAAATCTTTCATGAGGACAAGGGTAAAAGTGCTATTTAATGGCATAAATAAATAAAAAGACTGAGGGGACTGCTGAATCCACTTTTTGCCTAAAATGACTTCAGAACATTGTAACTAAATTCTAAATAATTATTCATGGAAACAAATTCCTTAGGAAATGTCTAACGTGGTCCATTCACCCTATCTGCTTCCCTATCACCAGGCTGACTGGAAAACAGGATTTGCAAGGCCCACAGTGTCAAACTGTTCAAACAAATATTTCAAAAGAGAGTGAAAGGGGTCAGGTTAAAATTCTCAGTATCAACTGTTAAAGTAGAAAAATAATTGAGCAGGCAAAACCAATCTGTCTGCTATCTTGTTTTTATATATTACAGAGAATATTACAGGCAGTAGAGGCTGCCTGATGGCCCCAAAGGAAGCTCCAGTATGTTCTCATCACGGCCAGGAAGAAATTCAGAGCCTGTGTCCAGTGACTACAGTCCCATGGCCTTGACTTTGGCACCATCCAGCTGACCCTGAGCAGGCAGGAAAGGACACACCAGCTATGCAGCCCACTATATCCTAAGTCCCTTTCACTGACTGCCCTAGAATAAGTAGATTGTCCAACATATCTCTGTGCCATGGACTTGGTACTCCTACCTATAATTTAAACAACTAGCTGCTCATGGAGGAGGGGGGCAATATGGCAGCATCACGATAGGCTAGATACTGGAAAAACAAAACAAAACAAAACAGAACAAAACAAAAAAACTGCCCCCTGGAGAAGAACAGCAGGTAAACCCACCCTCGAACTGTTGCAAGCCCAGGTTAAGTGCCTCTTGTAGCAACTTTGGAGTCTAGGCAGGTAAACTCCACTTGTAGAGTACCCATTTTATCAGCTCACTAAACTACCTGCTTTGTTCTGCACAAACTGATGAGCTCCATGCAGAGCAAGCATGTCCTGGGCCCCATTTCCCAAAGGGCTCCGGGCCATGTGGGTACATGCTGGGCATGGTAGACCACTACAGGAGAGAGACTTCTTGGTATCTTCACAGCCTCATGGCTAAGGTGATGTTCTCTTTTATAAGCAAGACAAAACTTAAAATAAAAGTCCAAAAGTCATTCCAATTCATTTTCCTGGCCTAAAAGCAAAGTATAACAAATAAGAGGGAGACTGAAGAGATTTCTAAAAAGGAGAGGAGAAAACATACCTTCCTTTGGACTAGTGGGAGAATAAAAAAGAAAAAAAAGCAAAAAATCAAAAAACAAACAAACAAAAAAACCATAACTGGGAACTCAACTCTAAGTAGACAAGAAAACATAAGGATCTTCACAGTCTTCTGAAGACTGCTTACTTTTCAGTTAGCAATGCCCTGTTAGAAATCCACTCCCTTCAAGAGGAAGCAGGAGCAGACGGCCAGGCAGGCTGAGGCTACTCACCATCATGTGGTAGTCTTCGTGTCCTTCGATAGGTTCACTAACCACATTTTTTATGGAGCCCATGGGCAGTTTCTCAGTCCGCTCTAGGTTTAAAGAAGGACAGCAGTTACTCAAAGGTCTACTTGTCCCAACTCCGCCTTGGCCATAGCAATTCCTCCCACACTATGGCTGGTTGGATATATAGTAACTTAGGTGGCGGGTACCCAGCCTCTAAGGATGAGGGACAGCATCTTCTGACCAATGCACCTACAGCCTGGAAGGGAGCTAGGAAATCTGGAGCATCAAATGGAAAACAGGGTTCAATGACGGTGGAATAAAAGTCTCAGGGCACATTTACCCATCTAAGTAGTAGTTTTCAAGTCTGATGATTAAAAAACACCTCAAAACTCCATTTTGCTTTCATAGCCCAAACCTGGATTTGGCTAAGGTTTCGAACACCTAAAAAGGCAAAGACAAAAAGCCCACAACAAAGAAGCAACAGGAGGGAAGACTATATGTCAAGCTTCCAAGGCTATTTACTGCCTGTGCCAAAACTTACAAACCCTTTATAAACATAACTGTTTGTGGTGGTCTCTCAAAAACATTTATGCCCTCACCTGATTAACACTGGAGACACCAATGATCCCTGGGGCAGAGACCATTTTACAAGTTTAAGGATGGCAGGAAAGAGGAGGCAGCCATGAAGCAGGCCTTCAGTGAGATGAGGCACCTGTAGCAGACAAGTGTAATGGTGATGAGGCAGGGGATCTTTGCCACAGGAATAACCCAGGAAGCACCAGATACCTGAGGTACAGGCAGGCATTGTCACAACACTGTTAAATCAAGGTGGAAAAGACTCCTTAGAGCTTTTACAGAAATATCTTAAAGACAGATAAATAAACAACTAGGTTAGAAATTTAAGAGTCCTGGGCTCTGGTTTTACCAGTTACATTAAGTATTGTATTTTCATAGGCCTTGACTTCAGAAAACTGGGAATGGGGAGAAGGGGCCTGAATGTCTACTTCATGGCTCTAAAACAGCAGCCACACAGAGATAAGAACGGCAGCATACTTAGGATTGAAACTTTTCAAATACTTTCCACCTTTTCTGACTTTTTCTCAAATTCCAAAGGCTGGACAATTCAAACACCACACAGCTGATAATGGCAATCAACTAAACTTTGACTGTCCTACAAGTATGGCGTGGCAGCTGACTACAAGCCTAGCATGCTCTCCTGTGCAGCTCTATGGTCTCACCCTGCTTCTTCCTACATAGGCAACAGTTTGTTGTGTGTGGCAGTCTTGAGAGTCCCTTACTCAGGAAAGTACTCATAGAGAGGCCAGTTAGCTGCTGGGACATTCACTTTACAGCAGCTTCTTGCTGAAGTGAAGACAAGCCAATGGCTTTTAGCCACTTCCCAGAGCAAGCTGTGCTTCTCCAAGTCCCTTTGATGCTAGGTGACAAAACTCCTGGGGACATAAGAAAAACACTTACCCACCCTCTGGGCTACTAAGGAGGTAGCCCATCGATAAGGAAAGGTTTAGCTCAGAATGAACAGCTCAGGTTATCAACCATGAAAGGTACAAGGAGTTCATGGCCATGCTCCTTTAATACAGTAATGGAAGGAGTTCTCAAACAGCTCAAATCTCAGTGCATCAGGACATTGCTAGAGCTCTGCCCTCACACTAAAGCAGGAAGCCAGCTGCTTCCAGAAGCTTAAATAAAATCTCTGAACCAGGCATGATAGCTCATGCCTACCTAAATCTAGTACTCTTGAAGCTGGAGTGGGAGAATCACCAAAAGTCTGAGGCCAGGTTAAGCAATAGTTTCCTCAAAAACATCAAACAACATACACAACATCATGGGAAAAACTAACCCAAATCACTTGCATTCACCTACCCTCCTGGACATGATGGCCTTCTAAGACCAGCCTGCGCAACTGCTCTCAATGTGGGCTGCCAGCAAGCAGAGACACCCAGCTACAGAGGGGAGCCATATGCATCAGCAAGGAACTCAGTAATGAAAGATGAGGCAAGATCACCAAGAAAACCTAGGCAGGGCTGCTACTCACTGGCAAAGAAGATGATATGACAGGCTCTCTTGAACAGCATGTTCGAGCAAAGCCTTCAAAAGCCATCGGAAAACTAAAGAAACCTTATAAATTCTTAAGAGAATTTGGTCTGACCACGTAGTTAAGAGTTATAAAACAAACAATATAGCTAGCTATCAGAAAATGAGAAAACTCACTTTCATCACTTCAGTCATTTTTAAGAATCCCTAGGGTTGAAACAGTGATCTGTGTTCTAGATTCATGGTTCAGATAACAAAAACCACACCCCCATCACCCTGCCCAAGTTTTATTTTTTTGAAACTTGATTCCATTTTCTGCACCCTGCCCTTGGAAACAAGTCTCTGATGATAGGACCACTATTCTCCTCTTTGGCATGTACCTCAAATACTAAACACCTATAGTACTGGCCACAGACAGGTGAATTAGGCATGTGCAAGTCCCTCCAGGAATCTAACGGGGACAGACGAGTCGGAGTGTAGTGAGTGCTCTAGGGACATAAACAGAGTACTCGAAGAGCAGAAACAACTCAAAGGAACAGAAGTTCAGTGGAGGGTTAGGGAGGTGTAAGGAAGGCTTCATTAGGAAAGGGCATCTTGGGGGTGGGGTGCTTGGAAGACTATTAATCCCAAGGACTGAGGAGAAGACATTCCAGGGTAGGGCCCAGCAAAGACAAGAACTCTGCAAAAATATGAGCTGGGGAATTCAAGCACGTGCCTCAAGTACACGAGGCTGACAGAATGGACCAAGGATTTAGAACAGGGTATGGTGAAACATCTGAAGCAGGTCTCAAAGAACTAATGGTTTACAGGCCTAGGAACCAGACAAAAAGCAGTACAGCAATGAGGACCAAAGTTGGCAGAAGAGGTCAGGTAGACAGAAACTTGCTCCTAATGCAACTTTTAAAAAGAGGCTAGTAGCCTTTAGCAGTAGCTAAAGGGACGTAGGGAATTCTGAAATGTTACCAATAAGATCTGGCAACTAGCTGGGAGTGATGGTGCATGCATTTAATCTCAGTACTCAGAGGCAGAGGCAGGAAGAAGTGAGTTTGAGGCTAACCTGGTCTACAGAGCAAGTTCCAGGATAGACTGAATTATATAAAGAAGTACTACATAAAAAAAGATAACTAAATAAAAAACAGCAAAGCTGAACCAGATACTGTGGGCAGGCAGAGTGTTACTGACAAGGGATGAGGATGTATATAAAGGGCAATCAGCAAGCAAAGGGGAAATTCTAGGTGGCAATTAGGGAAACTTCACTTCTAGAATCAAACTGACCAATAGGAAAGGGCCACATAGGCACCATGAGCAAAACTAACTAAAATTAGATGGGGCCATGGGGATTGTGGTGAATACCACTGCTTAGTCACAGCTACTCAATGCCTCATAAAGAGTGCAGGCTCCAGTGGCCAGATCTTCTCCCCATTAGTTTCAGAGAAATCTGATTTGTACAAACTACATATATATCTATAAAATTCTTGCTGAAGGACCAGATTTAGGTCATATACTCAGGATCTCTTGGTTTATATATTAACTTAAGGGCCAAATGTGAAGGATGGTCTCTCTGAGATCAGACTAAAAAGAAAGGGGAATGGGGCCAACCAAGAGGCAAGCATGTAAAGACACAATCAAAAGCTATGAAGACACAAAGCATGATGAGGAGAGTGGCTCCAAATGAAAGGCAGAATCACAGTCTGGAGCCACTGTTGTTGGGTGCTAGAAGCAGGCAGGATGCTGGGATGCCAAAGAGGCTGAGAACTAGAGTACCTTTAGTGCCGATCCACAGCTGGTCTTGCTCTAGCTTAAAGGTGAGTCTCACTTTCCCTCCAGACTTATTATACATGCCAGACAAGGGTACCGTTGGCAGGCGCTCCTGGAGGCACAAGAGCACAGTGAGAAAGGGAGGGGCAGTAGGACAGAGAGAGGGAGATGAGACAGAACTTGAGGCCATCGATTATAGGAATCTTAGATTGTGGAACCAAATTCTTCTTTAAGGGTTCAAAAATCAGGCCAGCTTACCTGGGCACCCTTAACAGATGGCATCACATCTTCAGGCTTTCCTTTGTCCAACACTTTCCTGTGTTGCTACAATATAAGTCAGAACAAAAAGGAAAATAAGACATAAGACACTCTACTACATTTAAGCCAGGTTTCTATCTCTTGGATAGAGAGAATGAAGCAGCCTAAATGCTTGTTTGAAAGCTTTAGTATCAATGGATTACAGATCCCTTGACACTGCAGAGCAAATGTGTTCAAGGGAGTTTATGTTGGTAATGAAATGTTCCTTTACTTGTGCTAGCTAGCCACTGGTCTCTGACGTATAAGCACTTTGTGACTTAGCAACATAAAGAAGTAACTTCTCATTGTTATTTAAGATTAACTATCCACACATAGCTACCATATTAGACATCAAAGTTTCACAGACAAAGTAGGAGTTCAAGGTTACTAATTCAATGTTTTACTCCCATCTCACCCGTGAAAAACCTAATCATTAAGTTAACAGACATGAAAAGAGAGCAACATCTGCATTTTTCAACTCCAAAAAAAACTACACACTGTCTGTATAGGTATAAATGCCAAGCAGGGTCATTTCTCCATTATTATGGAGAGCCAGACTATGACAGAAGTCTTCTTCTGCTCCACCATCAATCCAGCCACAAAGAATACCCAAGGAATCACATTTTGAAAACAGAAATGCTGACTCCCCCTATGCCTTCCCACTAAGAAGCATCCAAGCCCACTCCTCATGCCTTCTATCTCAGGACTCGAGTTCCAAACTCACAGTGCCTAAATGCCTTCGTCTCATCTCTTTCTTTTACATCTGTGGTTTTACAGGTACAGCAGCTGCTTGCTAAAGCTGGAACTACAGGCCATTAAACGGGCCAAGGGTAAAACTCAGTGAAATGCAGCACTCACAGGCAATGAGCCAATTCAAACCTTCACTGGTATAGCAGGACCCTATAGCAGGGGTTGCTAGCAAAGGGCTGCTGCTGACATCAGCCTCAGATTCCGGAACACGCTCATTAAAAGCCTCATGAGGGAGTAAAGCCTCATTAGGTCGTGCTATGCTTCGTAACCAGTGGCATCACCAAAGCAAAGCAGCATAGACTGGAAATATATATGAGTCAGGCCTTATAAGCACCTTTGGGAGAACTGTCCCTGCACGGTGGTAAACAGTTTTAAGCCTGTATTTACAAGGCAGGTTATGCACCAAGGGTGTGACAGGAGAAAATATTCAAATTTCTTTATAAATGTGGCAAGAGAAGACAGAAAATACCAATGACCTCAATGGCTTACAGGAAATTAGGACCCCATATTTAGGGATGAAAATGGCTCATATAAATACTTACTTTACAACACTTATCTAAATAGAGGTGATGCTCTACAGTAGAGCATGTGTTATATGTATAGAAAAGGTCCCAGGTTCAATCCTCAGCACCAAATACAAAAGAAAACAAATGCCCTATGGAAAGGTATTTTGAACTTCAGAGTGTCGGGGATTTTGTAAAGATAACAGTTTTAAAACACGTTACATAATATTCTCTATGGTATCTGGAGTAGTAACTTATAACTGAACAATACTTCTTTCAAGTATATTAGTATTTCCATGTTAAGAGGAGCTGGAGAGATGGCTCAGAGGTTAAGAGCACTGGTTGCTCTTCCAGAGGTGCTGAGTTTAATTCCTAGTAACCACATGCTGGCTCACAACCATCTATAACGGAATCCAATACCCTCCTCTGGCGAGCAGAGGAACATGTAGACAGAGCACTAATAAATAAATGTTTTACAAAATATTTTTTAGCCGGGCGGTAGTGGTGCACGCCTTTAATCCCAGCACTTGGGAGGCAGAGGCAGGCGGATCTCTGTGAGTTCGAGATCAGCCTGGTCTACAAGAGCTAGTTCCAAGACAGGCTCCAAAGCTACAGAGCCTGTCCCAAAACCCTGTCCCAAAAAACCAAATAAATAATGGCCTTCAGGCATACATACAGACAGAACATTGTATACATAATAAATATTTAAAAATAAAAAAAAATAAAAAAATATTTTTTAAAAAGTGTAACTGTCCCACACTTGTTCAATTTTGCTACCAAAATTTTAAAAATACTCATTTTTGATTATGAAGGAAGCATAGATTCTGAGTGTCTAACACAAAACCATCTTTCTCCCATGGTTGAAACTATGTCTTTAGTGTATGGCCCTATAACTAATGTTGGTTCAAGTCAGTTTTACTCTGGTCAGGACACATATTAAATTAAAAATACATGGTAAAGGACTAGGGGGTAGCTCAGTGTAGAGTTCTTGCCTACAATCGTGCACAAGAGTCTAGGTCCAGTCCTCCGCATCATGTACACAAAACACACACCTATAAACAGTCATGATGGCACACGCCCTCAAACTCAGCACCAGGGAGACAGAGACAAGAAAACTGTACAAAGTCCAGCCCAACTTAGTGTCCAGATCAAGCTTCAGGCCAGTCAGGGCTAAGAAGTGAAACCCTGCCTCAAAGAACAAGCAGAAAAATGAGTTAGAGAGAGAATATACAAACGCAGGCTATCTCATGAAGAAGGGTCACAATAAAAAGTGTCAATATCTTCTTATTCAGTTTGGTTTGGGTTCCTGAAATGGTCAGTTTTAGGAGAAGCTCTGAAATCTCTTGACTTCCATACCTATCCAGAAGTGGGCTTTTTGAACTTGAGAAGACACCTGTAAGGAATAAGGGCTTCATTCTAACATTGGTCATCTTCCCTGGCACAAAATAAAAGAAACCCACGTCTGGTTCCACCTGCTAACTCGCTGAAGTCTCCCTTCACAAAGGCCTTATCCTAAAGCAAGGAAGACTAAGGCACACTGACCAGCCAGATGACAAAGCTGCAAAGTTCAGGTAGCTGTCAACTCCACTGCTGCACCCAACTGCTCCATAAATGTCCATCATGGGCCCTGTCCAAAAAGCATCTTATTCTAGGGAGAATGTAACCAGCCTCCAACTTCCCAGGACCAACAAGTAAGTACACAATGCACTCACCTTCTGTCTGCAGAGGGGCTCCTTCTTGTTCTCTTCAGCCTTTGCATCCTGCTGGGCAGCATCTTTGGGGGTGTTTACTGCTAAAACATCATTTATAGTAGAGCCAACCACCATGATCTTGGCTCCACTGGTCACTTTTATTTCTCTCAACGTTTTATCTTCAGGAACAAGTCCCTTATACATGACCTTCTGCATGGCGGGTGGGAGACCTTGACAAAAAGTGGAAGGTAGGGAAAGGAATAAGCAGGAAATGTATGGACCATCATGCTTCTGTAACAAAACAGGAAGTGAACACTGGCTCCATCAGCTAGCAGCTTTTTGAACTTGGGGGAATTTGGACCATCAGGATATTTGGCTGGTAAGACTTGGTCCTTCTAGTAGACTTAGGGTACTTAGAATTGTTCAACATGTCTTCGTTATCATTCCTTCCAAGTCGCTCCTCAGCCTTATTCTTAAATACTGAGAATGCCCAAGCATCAGGGACACAGCAGTCAGTAAGTTACTTTCCTATGGCATTTACAGGCTACATGGGAAAAGCTTAAGAAAGAAGTAATTTTAAATGACAAATCAGTACAAACAGAGTGACCAAATATGAATAATTGTGAAGGGCCACCATGACTGTCAGTCAATATTAATGTTTCAGGAACTTCCCTTATGAAACTTACCTATCTGCTAAAATAAATAAATAAATCTAGACTCACTCAGAATCTCTACAGTTAGTGTCCAGGAGCTGTAAATTTAATATACGCCGCGAGAGATTTTCACTATGCTTAGTAGTCCAACATTAGTTAGAAGGCTGAGCCTAATAATTCAGTTTAAGGTTTGTGTCTCTGCTCCACCACTTGGTAGCTCTATATCATCACGGGTCCAGTTTTCCCTCTGTGATTAATAAAAGACATGCAAATACTGACTTCAGAAAATTGCAGCGAGGGTAGCGGGAGTCCATGCAAGGAAAACACAGCAGCAGTTCTAGCACGACGTAAGCAATACGGACTAGAAGGTGGGGGTGGGGGATGGAGGCAGTTGGTTGTCAGCTCCTAGAATACCTGTAATGGAGTGAATCTTCTGCTTTAGCTCGGAACCCGTGCTGTCCAACGGGACCTTCACGTCGTGCTTAGTCTTGTTCCAAATTATCTTCAGCTCCACCAGCTCCCTGCCCGCACCGCCGCCTGCGTCCTCGCCGTTGCTGACCGAGGCCTGAGCCACAGGGTCCCCAGGGGGCTGGGCCGGGGCCGGCTGCAGGCTGCCTCGC